AAAGTCTTGCTAAAGATTATTCAAAGATGGTTGCAGTATATTGACAAAGAACTTCCAGAAATGCAAGATGGATTCAGAAGAGGATGTGGAACCAGAGATATCATTGTGATGTCAGATGGATCTTGGCTGAAAGCAAAGAATACGAGAGATGTTTACTTGTGTTTTATTGACTACGCAAAAGCATCTCACTCTGTGGATCATAACAAATTATGGATCACTTAATTGTCCTCAGGAGGACCCTGTACATAGACCAAAGGCAGTTGTTTGAACAAAACAAGGGCATACTGCATGGTTTAAAAACAGGACAGGAGTGTGTCAGGGTTGTATCTGCAGTCTGCAGTGTGGATTACACCTCAACATAAAGAAAACAAAATTTCTCACCACTGGACCAATAAGCAGCATCACAATAAATGGAGACAAGATTGAAGTTGTCAAAGATTTCATATTACCTGGATCCACAATCAACACCTGTGGTAGCAACAGTCAAGACATCAGACAATGTAGCGCATTGGGCAGTTCTGCTGCAAATGATTTCTTTAAAGTGATGAAGATCAGAAATGTCTCTTGGACGTCTAAGGTGCGTGTAACCCAGGCCACGGTATATTCAGTTGCCTCATGTGTGTGTGAAAGCAGGACAATGAATGAAATAAGGAAGACTGAAGGAGAGTTGGTGCTTTTGTGTTGTGGTGTTAGGGAGGGATACTGTGAGTAGCATGGACTGCCAGAAGAACTAACTGATGTGTCCTGGAAGAAGTGCAGCCAGAATGCTCCTTGCAATCAAGAATGCCCAGACTTCGTCTGACCTACCTTGGTCACGTTGTCACAAGGGACCCTTTCCTGGAGAAGGATAACATGCTTGGTAAGTGGAGGGTCACTGAAAAAAGGGAAGGGCCTGAATGAAAGGGACTGACACAGGGGCTGCAACAAGGACTGTTTGCTGGGACGGGACCGGGCAGTGCTTCATCTTGTTGTGCACGGGGTCGCTGTGAGAGGGAGCCGGCTCCAGGGCACCCGGCCCCGGTAGCTGGGAACTGGACTTCACTCAGCAGCACCTAATAACAACTTTTTACTTTTCAACCATTTGCACCAGTGCCAGGCTTCCATCTGCTGTCCACCCCACAGCTGTCTGCCACACCTAGTCCTCACGGGTCCATGTGGCCTTTACCCCAGGGGCACTAGTCCTGCAGGGCGCTTCTGACCCAGCCACCCAGAGGGTGAGGGCTGGGCTTGGAACCTGGCTGAGCAGCCCCCTCTGGTGGGGCCTGGAAGGGAGTGGTGCCATAGGGCTGAGGGGGGCGGGCCCAAACTCAGGGAGGTGGACAGGCTCAGGACTACGGCTCTCTCCTGAGCTGCCCCCAGGCACCTGATGGCCCACATGTGGCTCCTGAGCCTGGCCCCCAGTTCCCCACCTTTTGCTTTAACATTGAAGTGAGGTGGCTGATGGGGTGGTTCTGTCTGAGGGGTCACCCAGGTGCAGGCTGGGAAGAGACAGGCTTGATGTGTGGGTGTCCTGGCTGAGTGAGCCCCTCCCCACCCCCAGCTGGGACGACTCCTCTAGTACACCTTGTCCCACCTGACAGCCCAGGA